TGTCTCAAAAAAAAAAAAAAAAAGAAAGCAGACATTTGGGCTGGATGAATAGATTAAAAGGTAACATCACCTCCCTTTTACGATATATATTTCCTTTTAAAAGTTAATTCTAACCTAGACCCTTTGTCTACTCCCCTATACCTTACTCCCCTTAGGTCTTACACAAGACCACCCATACATTACATGTAGGAACATAGTTTCCTTGACTCCTAAATAACTGTGATAAATCAATTAATGCTGTATTGTAAATGATTTGTTAAAACACAATAAAAGGCCGGGTGAGATTTCAGATGAGGGAGGAAGAGTGCTTTCTTTTCCTTTACCTTATCAGTTATTGCCCCAGCAATAGCTGAGTGTGAGGATCTTTATTGTCACACCAACCTCTGCATTAGCCAGGTTCTGAGGAAGCAAACAAGGGCAAATAGCAACACCCTCTCTACAAAAAATTTTAAAAATTAGGCTGGCCTGGTGTCATGCCCTTAGAGTCCTAGCTACTTGGGAGGCTGTGGTAGGGGGGATCTCTTTGAGCCCAGAGGTTACAGTAAGCTCAGATCATGCCACTGCACTACAGCCTGGGTAACAAGGCAGGACTCTGTCTCTAAAAATAAAAATGAAGATAAAAAGAAAAATAAAGGGAGTATTTCTATAATGAACCAATCTCTAATTTAGCATCTCTTTGCATAACAGGGCTGTAAAGTGAGAGACCACGTGGTTGCACTTTGTGATCAAGGTGAAGGTGGAGAGTTGCCGTCCTGTACCACTACTACAATACTGGATGATCTGCACAAGCACAAAGATGTTATTGCTGTGCCCTTTTCAAAAGATACAGTTAGGTGAGGGAGAAAAAAATGTGAGGGAGCTTTATTCCCTAGTGTTTCCCCAGCAATATCAGTCCTCAAATATTAATAGGTTATATTATTTCAGAAAGCAAACAGATACTTACTTAATGGGCAAAAACACTTAAAAATATTGGAGATCGAAAGGGAGGAAAAACTAATTAGCCCTTGGTGATTAAAGAGTTTGGGGGCTCGGCGCCTGTGGCTCAAACATCTAAGGCGGCAGCCACATACACCTAAGGTGGTGGGTTCGAATCCCCAGCCCGGGCCTGACAAACAACAATGATGGCTGCAACCAAAAAGTAGCCGGGCATTGTGGCAAGCGCCTGTAGTCCCAGCTACTTGGGAGGCTGAGGCAGGAGACTCACTTGAGCCCAGGAGTTGGAGGTTGCTGTGAGCGTGATGCCATGGCACTCT